CACCTTCACTGATTCCGAATCGTCAGACGAATGGTAGGTCTTGTGCTAAACTATAAGTAATATATGGGTGCTGACGCAATTTTAGCCCATCGATGGATGAGGCTGCGACGAAGGAAGAGTTGAGACCAGTCAAAAAGCAGCTTGTGAGTAATCCCTTGTGGCGTTCGAGTCAATGCTAACTCTGTGTAGAAACAACTGAAGTTATCTGGCGAGGACATGCCTCGCGACGACAAAGTTGCCATTCTCAAGGACTCTTTGGCTGCTATTGGACGACGCATTGAGATTGTCCTTCAGAACAAACAAGCAGCTGGAGAGGACCGAGAACGATGGCGTCGACATCTCTGGGCGTGAGTATGAAAACCTAGACCATTTGTATCAATGTTCATTTTTACCACAGTTTCGTGACGCTTTTCTGGCCTAAGAAAGTCAAGGCGTCGAAATTAGAAGACATTCATGCCAAGATGGTGATGAAGGAAGCTGCACCACGAGCGTCTGCGGAAGCTTCGACCTCTGCCAAGAAGCCTCGCCCCGTTACAGGTGGCAAAAGCAATGGCACACCATCTACCGCGTCGAAGGCCAATGGCAAATCCCATCGATAGTACTCCATTAATATTTTCTCATATTCATTCTTGTGCTTTGGATCTTACCCCCCGTTTTTGCTTTCACGCTCTCTGGCTATCATGATTAACTTTTTTTTAAGTCAGGTTGCAATATTCCACATTTCGTTTATTCCTTATGACATGTATCAAATTATCAATTACATTCTTGACCGTGATGAAAATTTGATTTTCTGCGGCTCCCCACTGCACCAATATGCAATCATGAAGCTTTGCGCTGGACAAAAAATATAAGATTTCATAGAACTGGCTAGTAACTTAGTCTAAAATCTTGAACTATTATGTAACTCACGCCAACACGGAGTCTAAGCTTTCTGTATACATGCATGTATGTTACTTAGATACAGACAAAATGGAATTGCAACTAAATTGCAACTACATCTCTGACTAAAAGGACATCTGATTTTCTGAAACGGCTCTCCACTATGCCAGAGGGAGCAGATCTAATGATACACAAAAGTCCTAGAAAAGCCCCAAAGTAAATGAAGCAAAATAGGCGGTGACAGTTGCAGGATTGACTCCTTACAACGTCAGGTCTAGCATCTAAGAAGTGGTATCTTACTTACTCGTACCCGTACTCGTCATGCCATTATCGTACTTGAAGACGCATTGCGGATTTCAAGTTCCCGGAACTCTGCCTCCGATGTCTCCTTGGAACATCCACTGTAACCGTGGATTGTCTATCAATCACGACCTCCTGGGTTGTTTGTCGAGAGTGATTTGTGTGCCGATCGACCTGATGTCTGTTTGAGGGTTGTGGAACAATCGCGGCAACGCCAGCAGGCTCCAGCTGCTGTTGTTGCTGTTGTTTCATAGCAGTCACTAGAAAGTGATTTCGTTGAACATGCGAACAAAAAGGTTGATGGATACCCCACCTTCAAGAAGTCTAGCATCCGCCTCCCGAGTGAAGCTCTGCGTGAGAGCGGTGTACCTTTTCACCTGCCAACTCATCTGAGATACCCGCGCAAAGTTCCCCTGCGACTCAGCCCACTTCTTTTCCTCCTTGAACCGCCTCCGCTCACTATCCGCCAAGGATGCTTTTGCGCGTAGCATGGCCAACTCCCGTTCTAGCGGGCTCATGGTGTGGTTGGGATCGATGCTAGAAGTCGATGTCAGCGAAGGTGGCGTACGCCATCGCTGACTTGGTTCGGATTTGCGGGAGCGCGGTGGTCGACTGGGGGGTATCATTTGGTACTCTGTGCTAGACTGGAATTTGACGAGACGTTTTCGTTTTGGGGCATACGTGCTCTCTTTATCGTGAACAGAGTCTCCGTGAAAGTCATAAAAGTACCCATCCTCGATGAGTTGCGATAGGATGTCGGTGACTAGGACACCAAGAGCGACACCGAGCAAGGTGGTCGCGCACCTGGATACGTCCTGGAGCATCATGAACTCGATGCCGAGTCTGGCAGCGATGCCGAATGCAACAACGAAGGCGAGATCAGGATATTCCATTAAAGCATAATATAGCGCGACGCCTTGGACGACGCCAAGAAGGATGACATCGCTAATGACAGCCTGGTCAGCACTGTCGTCAGCAGTGCTCGAGAACTTGTTGAGGGCAATGCGTACGCCCAGACCAAATAGTAGAGCAGGCGCTGTTGAGAATGTCATGGGAAAGACTTAACAGTCATTCCCGACAACTTTAGTATTCGCTTATTGTTCAACTTCGTGTGAACCGAATGGGTATACGTAGACCCAAACGTCACTCGACAAATACAAAACAGGTGTTAAGCTGTCCAAAAGAATATGCTATAAAGAATAATAGAAAGCCAGGAGAAAGCAAGGTAAAATACATCATCGCGTATATACATCTTCGCTATCCACGTAGTTTGCCATGGGATCTTCAGCGTTTCGGCGTGTCATTCGATAAGCTTCTGCAAGATGATAGGTCATATCAGAAGGCGCCCAATCGTAAAATTAGATACATACCGAGCTCCTCCTCAGTAACATCGTGGCCACTGCTCTGCAAGCCTTTCATCTTCTTGTTAGATCGATCATCATCCTTGTCTCCTCTGGCTTTCCGCTTCTTCTCCTCGCTAATAGCCTCTGCTAATCGATCCTTATCGAAAGAGACGTCCCCTTCGCCTATTCGCTTCTTCGAGTAATTCTGTTCTATTCGGGCTTTTGCCTCGTTGTCCTGGGCAGAGGGCTCTGATTGAGCCTGTGATGATGCAAGCAAAGCTTGGGCTGTCGAGGCTTGTGCAGCTTCCTTGCCCGCTTCACCAGCGCAATATGAAATGTGGATGGTCGAATGGCAGCACGCATAGCCCCAGGTACCACTTGAAAGGTCATACCATGAGCCCCACACATCCGTATGATTATTAACGTAAACTGAATCTCATGTTAATACCACCACATCTCACAAATATCAGAAAGTTGAAACTCACCGTCCTCTGGATACTTTGACCGCGTCTTAGCGCGTTCTTTCCCTTTAATAACGTGGCCAGTCCGCGAATATTCGACATAATTCTCCGTTTGCCCATTTATGAGTTCCCTTGGCACGTGGTCGAGGTACTCCTCGCCACCATACTTTGCCAGAATACTGACTTTGTTGACGTCCTTCATCATCTCCTTCTTCTCCTTAAATTCGTGGTGAAGAAGTTGTCCTTGCGTGGGATTGGCGTTGAGATGAACATCATTGCCTCGAGCTGCCGCTTGCCACGCGAAAAGTTGTAGTTCTTGAACTTCAGGAGCCTCGCCAGAGAACCGAAAGAAATTATCCCCAGCAAATTTTGCCTGTCATAGAGATTAATCAGGGCAGAATCGAGGATGGAAGCATAAACACATACCTCCTCCGCAGGCACATTCTTTATGGGAGCGTCACGCATTGAGCGAGTCTTTGGGTCGTAGTATGCGCTCTCTGGGTCCAAGTTTATGAGATATTTAGCAGTATCTTCTCGGATACGCAGATTCCGAACTGTAATGCGAGTCTTCGTGTCAAGTTTTTGTCCTACAGCATCTGCAGCATCGGCATATTTGTCGTCGTCGGCGTCTTCCTCATCGCTCGAACCAAAGTCAGGATCAGCTTCCTTTCCCTCCTTCTTTCCAGCTTTCGCCAGCTTCCGTACCGCAGCCAAGTCTGTTGTTGTTTGGTTGTCAATCTCTTCCTCCCTCAGTTTCTGACGTGCTGCCTCAACAGCTTCGTACTCCTCATATATTTTCTTGTGCTCTGCAGGATCATACCCGTTCCACCTATCCCTCTTTGCGTCAAATCCCGTCGCTACGTCATGTATGATCTCGTCCGCTTGAATATTCTTATTCGTGAACTTCGCTCCCTTCTTTCGAGGACGTTCGAGACAGTCCTGCTTCTTGTGGGTCATTGCGCCGCAATTTTCGCATGCGCCTTTTCGGTACTTCTTTGCAGCAGGTCCTGCCTTCGCACCACGGTCATACCAGTTGTCGAGTTTGTCTGCGGAGCGATCATCGAATGGTCGACGTTGATGGCTTAGTGACGGTGCGCCGGTGTCAAGATACCACGGAGCTTGTGAGATGTATTCTGTGATGGAGAATGAGATTATTATTATATATATGAGTCTATATAGTATAAACTCACGGGGAATGTGAGGGTTGATAGGCCGTCCCTCCTCGTCTAGAGCTGCAGGAGCAGTTCCAGCTTTTCTGGCAGCATCGAGGTCCTTTTGGCGTCGAAACTCCTCACGGGAAAGCTTTCCGACAGCTAAAATATGTCAGTTTAAAAGGAACCTATTTCTAAAAGAGTTTACATACCTGAAGATGAAGCCATTTTGTTATGACCTTGAACGCGGTTTGTGAAGAATGACTTGAAAGTGCTTGTGTACGTAAGTCGATATCTTACGAATTCATTATGGAAGTAGTGTCTCACGCTATTCATGGTCCTTTGTTCGGGGAGACCGACACGCTCGTCATCATGATAAACACTGGTGTTTTGGATGGCCTTTCAAAGATCCTGCTCATGAGTGCCCTATCACATATTCTTCCGCGTTAAACTTTACTGCATCATTGCGTCCGATCACCTATGCGCTGGAGTCTTCCCTACAGAAAGAAAGAAATCACGGAGCGACCTATCCTTAAGTACTCCTGTTGCACGGATAGGTTCCAATACTCGCTTGCACGCCTCGAACTGCTCGCGCTATGGAATTTTTGTCCAGATTTTGCAGGGGAAGCGATGTTTGGTAGAGCCCAGAAGATTGTTGTCAGCGCAAAGCTACCTTCGGTGATTCTCATGTTTACGCTGTCAGTACGTCCTTGAGCTATAGTCACTCCCGCTAATACCGCCGATGAGGCGTTGGTATGCTGGCAATCGACCATTTGTACAGGTAGAAATATCAAGTGAATTACAGACCACTAGGTGACGTTCAGACAGCAGTTCGAATGTTCAATACTCAGTAGTCACACTCAGTAAGTAGATGGCGAGCATCAAATGTTGGACTTTTTTTTAATATTTATACTGCCGATGAATATCTGACATATTTAGCTATGACGTGCAGGTATACATGTCAGCCAACGATAATCGAGCAGTCTGTGTCAGCCACCGAGCTCGAGACATAAAAAGCTCGCGCTTCACGTTCTCCGACCCAATCCGTTCTTGTCCTTCGACTTCTTCTCTCTTACGCTTGTTTCTTGCATTTGCTACCCCACATTCGTTCATAATGCGCTCCCTTTCAATGCTCGCTCTCGTGCTCCCTGCCGTGCTCGCAGTCCCTCTTGAAGTTACCACTCATCACCAATATGTAAGTGCCCAAGCATCCATCATTTATCATAGTGCACTATTGATTCGACTTGCTCGCCCTCTCAGTCACCTTCTTCCTGCGTCATCGCAGACGTTGCTTATCCAGATCCTCGACATGCCCTTGTGCTCCTTGGTAGACGAGAACTCAGCCCTCCTACCGGACTATCTGAGCGCACTTTCACCGACCTCCTAGTCTGGTGCCACGAGTTTGGTCGTTCATCCTCTGGTTTGCTCGTTGCTCGTCAGGAAGGTGGCTGCTCTTCTGGAGCTTTTGGTGGTCCGGTAGGGAGTGATAGCACGGCTGGCACAACCAATCCAGGAGACGCTCCGCAGAATTCTTCAGCGTCTGGTTATCAGAGCGCAGGTTCTTCCGCCGCCGAGCCTCCGACGACCCCCGCAACTTCTACACCTGCTGTTTCACCTGCCAACTCTGTCGCTCGTCCTGCATCTCCGGGAGACACGCCTCCAGGAATGTCTGGAGGTGCAACTGACCCCACGACATCTGGCACGTCAACCGATACTCCCACTAAGAGCGACGTTTCTAAAGATGCCGGAACTCCTGCAGGAATCAATCCCTCTGGAAACGATACTGCGACCACAGGCCCGGCAAATAGCAACGCATCTGATAACGGGAGTGCATCTGCGATACCACAGTCCACCCCACCCGCACCTACCACTCCCTCCTCTGCGACATCTCCGTTTCTAATTGTCAGCGGCACCAGTCCTGTCGCGGACATCAATGCATCGGACAGTCAGGCGAACGGAATAACAGCGTCATACATACCCTCAGGTGCAGCACCCCAGACTTCTCCAGATGGTACCGTCAACGGTGGTACGATGCCACAGACTGTCCCTGATGGTACTTCCAACGGTGGTACGATGCCCCAGACTGCCCCGGATAGTATCACCAATGGTGGTTCAACGCCACAGACTGTTCCCGATGGTACTATCAATGGCGGTACTCCACAAACTGTCCCGGATGGTACTGTCAACGGTGGTACGCCCCCTTCCCCTATTGCTGAAACAGGTACTTCTGGTTGCCCAAATCATTTTGTGGACGTTACGGGCGTTATTTCTGTGAGCGTGGCGAGTGCGGAGACTTGTGATAGCGTGTAGATTCCTGTAGCATTGTAACGCAAATATGTTTTAAGTTTCCCAATACCGATGAGGGGTGTCCCAAAATGGCAGTTGTGCAAAACAACACGCAAACAACGCGAACAATGTATCTGAAGCGAATGACACTGCAATTGACTTTATATACTAGCAAGTCATACATATACCCGAGGCTCACTAGTCCATTAAAGACTCATTCACGATGTCGACTCACCTTGCGATACTGCCACTTGGTAAGCTCTTCGCCTTGCCCACACCAGCCCCCATGTTGACTTGTCTTGCCATTCTGTTCAGACATTATTGACACACTGACTGCGCGGCTAAATCAAGAAAACCGCCATCCCGACTATGTGCCTCGATTCCTAAGACTTCCACACCCGCGTACAGGTCAGTCGCTATACGACTACCGTCGTTCTAAGCGCTTACAACGACAAGGTCTCGCTTCACTGTTTCTTCTTCATGATCACCGTTCACAAAATGATACCACAAAGACGAGTTCCATATTAGAGGTGCAAGCCATATCCCCGACGAATGCGCGGACCTGGTTTATGGGAGAGGAAGTCATCGCCGGTGCATTATGCAGATCTTGATCCCAACCATATGTATTTCTGACGCACAGGTATTCAGATGGAAAGCTTATAGTGATGACGCCCATGGACCCCATGTTCTTGCTCATGTATCTTTTACGTGCCCCACAAGCGGTATGTTATCATACATGTTGTACTAGTCCCTAGAACGATGTTCGTTTTACAGCGCGACGGCTCAAAAGGCAACTTCAGGCCCTTGGAAGATATTATAGAAGAAGCCTCTGCGACGATTGCTGATGCTTCCGATAAAGATGCTCAGAAGGACCCGTCATTACATGTCTCCGCAGACGACATTGTTTCCTTTCTGTCTCTGGATTTTGTGCAGTCCTCTATAAAGCGTGTCTGCGACGTCAAGGGTGAGCGTTTTGGGCTTTATACAACCGTTTATTAACATGTCTGTGCTCAAGTCATAACGGACAAGATTACTGTATACAGATATTCTCATGACGTTGTGCTGGAAAATCTCAAGAGGAAGGTAGGACGCTTATCCGACCCCAAGGTCGCAGAGATGTCTCGCACTTTGGTACGGAGCCTTGCAAAGGATGGCTTGATGGATGATGGAAAAGAGGAACTACTCGATTGTGCGTTCTTTTTCACCGCTTATCTCTAGTTAATAATTTTTTCTCCAGTGGGACGGACCAAGTTAGCATGTGAATTGCTATCGCAATATCTTCCCCGGGACGTGTTGCAGGATTTGATTGCGTTTTACAAGTATGTGTCTTATTTACTGCGGCTAGCGGATATTGATAGATTATCAGCCTCTCTAAATTGGACGCCCATGTGAAAACGGTCAGAGATGAAGAACTCGCTTTGCTCGCCGTAGCTCCCGACACTAAGAAGAGAGCGAGGGTTCCAAAATCCACTGCAGCTGGCGATAAAAATCAGAAAAAGAAGAAAGACGCCAAGGCTACTGGGAATGCTGACATTGACGCAGCTGACGATGGAGATAAGAAGAAGAAAAAAGATGCCAAGTCGTCACATGGCGTAGAGAAGCTGAAGAAGGCCAATGTGGCAGGGATGTCGAAGTTGTCCACCTTTTTCACCAAGAAAGCTGCATAATTGCAACTTGGAGTCATGCGCTCACGCTTGGCCACACGCTACGATGCTTTGGCCGCCTGATAGTACACTTGTTCGACCTGTTAGTTCAGGAAGATAAGATGTTATTTATTTTTTCCTCCGATCCGTGGCCTTACATGCCGACTCGGGAATCACACATTCACACTGACAGTTACTATTCCGGAACACTTTTCGAAGGATGTGAGTACCTGTCAAGCTGCCACGAGGAATGTTTGCCTCGAGCAAGGTCTTCATTTACAATCAATGATGTATTAAAAACCATTGTGAACACATGCCACGGGCAAAGGACACTATGTCGGCATCGGTGAGGACTGGCATTTGCACCAATACTTGGCACTCTCATTTGAGCAAAGTATGACAATCCAAGGTGGAAGGGTCCAGTTGGTGGTTTCAGAGCCTATGTGTAGAATATGACAGTGTCACGCATGTCATGAGAACAGACCACTTATCCAAATATTCCCAGCCGAGTCTGTTCCAAAACTGCAATCAGGCTTGCCCAGTAAACCACGGGTGCTGAGCGCTAATCAGTTCGAGGTGACGAGCATGAGATGGCATGAGAACGGTAATCGTCCCGTAGATACGGTCAATTGACATACGCCCTTCAAGTTGCTTGATGCGCGGCCGGGTAGTAGCCTTCCCATCTGGTGCAGCACATCGGTTTAATATGCATTCAGCCTAAGCCGCACAGAAGTTTAACGGTGAATTGATTCGATGTCGACGGGTGAATTTAAGGGTAGTCGGGGTCGACGAGTACATTTTCGTGCCCGATGAGTTCGCAAATGTGTTTCTGGTTCAAACCCAGCTGGTTTATGACAGACACCTCGATATGGCCATAAATATCAAGTCTGGATGAAAAAGACATGTGAGTACTCCCTGAATGAATGAATGAATCCTCTGACTCAGAAACGAGAAAGAATGGTGTGCTCGTTGAGCGCATGACGCGGCATGGTCGAGACGAACGAATGATGTGACGCAGCGCGCGCCGTTGGATCCGTCATATGACCAGCAATTGGCTTACTGGCAAGTGAAACTACGTCTTCAGAAAAAGTCGTATCTATTCGTCATCGATATGCTGGCTCACTATTGCGTGATATCGTCTCATCGCCTGATAAGTAATCACCACTCTTTTCGCAGCTTTTATACACTCGTCACTCGTTTAAATAGTAGCTAAATGCCCCGGACCAAGTTACATTATTAGAAATGGCCAACATCCCTCATGGCGGAATTTTGAAGGTACGTTCCTCCTTGCGTTTGCTCATTTCACGCCATCTAACATCATCCCAGGACCTTGTTTCACGAGATGAGCCAATATCAGGGCAGCTCAAGGACGAGGCTGCGACGCTCAAGGACATTGTTCTCACCGAGGTTTGTCTCCAGAGTGACGCTATCGAAGCTGAATACGGATCTTGAATCATCTTAGCGTCAACTCTGTGATCTCGAGCTAATTATAAATGGCGGCTTTAGTCCATTGGAAGGCTTCATGAACGAAGCTGACTATACAAGGTAACAGTGATAACCAAAGCCACAGAAAGTCGCGCTGATAATAATCTGTCAGCGTCGTCGACACTTTACGACTATCTGATGGCACACTCTTTTCAATGCCTGTCACCCTTGACGTGTCTTCGGCCGATGTCGAGCGTCTCAGCATAGTGCCTGGCGCTCGCATTGCTCTTCGAGATCCTCGTGATGACGAACCACTTGCAATCATCACCGTCGATGATGTTTACGCCTATGATCGCGTCAAGGAGGCTATTCATGTTTTCGGTGCCGATGATCCAGCACACCCTTCCGTCGCATACCTCCGCAACCGCGTCAAGCCTTTCTATGTAGGAGGAAAGGTGCAAGCCATACAGGCGCCCTCGCACTTTGATTATGTTGCTCTCCGATGTGAGTCATCTCAATTTTGAGGTCACCTACCTTGCTGATACAAAGGTTTGGCAGATACCCCTGCTGAACTCCGTGCCCACTTTAAAAAACTTGCATGGCGCAGAGTCGTCGCTTTCCAGACCCGGAACCCAATGCACCGTGCTCACCGTGAACTCACAGTCCGCGCTGCCCGCCAACATCAGGCAAACGTCCTAATCCACCCTGTCGTCGGTCTTACAAAGCCAGGAGATGTCGATCACTATACCCGTGTCCGCGTATATGAAGCCATCATGGCCAAGTACCCAAATGGAATGGGTCAGCTTGCGCTCCTCCCTCTCGCAATGCGCATGGCAGGTCCCCGTGAGGCAGTATGGCACGCAATCATCCGAAAGAACTTTGGTGCAACGCATTTCATCGTCGGTCGCGACCATGCTGGACCAGGAAAGAACTCACAAGGCAAAGATTTCTACGGTCCATATGACGCACAAGAACTTGTTGAGAAGTACAAGGATGAGCTGGAAATAAAAATGGTTCCATTCCAACAGATGACATACCTCCCCTCCACCGACGAGTATCAACCGGTGGACGAAATACCTGCTGGAGCGCAGACTCTGGATATCTCTGGCACGGAGCTGCGGAGGCGACTAAAATCAGGGGCCCATATCCCTGACTGGTTCAGTTACGAGTACGTTCCCATCCTTGATATACTACGCATCATTTTTAATAAGCGGATCAGGGCTGTGGTGACGAGGCTGCGAGAAAGTTATCCGCCAAGGAACAAACAGGGCTTTGTTCTCTGTCTCACTGGATTCTACAACTCTGGAAAGGACATCATTGCAAAGGCCCTCCAAGTCGCACTCAACGAACAAGGTGGTCGCAGCGTATCCCTTCTCCTGGGCGAGACCGTACGAGACGACAACGCCAAGTTGGGCTTCACACCGGACGAGCGTCACGAGAACTTGCAACGCATATCCTTCGTAGCAGGCGAACTCGCTCGCGCGGGGGCGGCTGTCATCGCTTCACCTATAGCCCCTGAAGAACGGTCACGAGCGTTGGTGAAGGATACCATTCTTCAGAATGGCGGTGCGGGAGGAAACTTTTTCCTGATTCATGTTGCGACGCCTGTCGAACATTGCGAGCGCACTGACCGCAAAGGCGTTTATGCTCAAGCGCGTCGCGGAGAGATAAGGGGTTTCGTTGGTGTTGACACCGAGTATGAGGTGCCCAAGAAAGCAGATCTGGTTGTGGACGTGACCACACAGAGTATACCTTCCATCGTACACAGTGAGTCCAACTTGAATGTCTATTTTGGCGGTGCTTACCATGTTCTTAGGTATCGTTCTCTTGCTTGAGACAACTTCGCTTATATGAGCGCTCGCAACACCATGACGACTAGAGCATACATAACATGGCAGGGTCATTATTCTTGGATATACATCGGCGCTAGAAAAGCCCACTTGTAAATTATGCATTGTTTCAAAACTACATCAATTAGATTCGTCCTTCAATCAAATACGATAAACATACACAGTAAAGTTACAACTAAGCAAGTTTACACCAAGGAACAATATCGGTCACGCACAAATCTCCGCGCCACCATACCGGTCGCATTGGCTGCCGCCCCTGAGGCCTGAGGCCTGAGGTGTCATCTCTGCTGATTACAATTGATAAAATTGCTGATTGAATCTAAGCACATCCCATTAATTATATACATCATTAGACTCAAACGATGATTGACTGACTAAATAGCAATAGCCTTCCTCATCAATAGCCCTATTGACACGGAAGACCAGCCGCGATCCACGCATCATAACCGCCCACTATATCGGTCGCATTCAACAATCCAAGCTCATGCAGGGATGCCGCAGCCAACGAGCTGGTACGCCCTTGACTACAAAATAATATAATCTTCAAATCATAGCGATCTGCAATCGTTAACCGCGCTTCGCAGCGTGGGTCAAAACACCACTCCAAAACGTTTCGCTCGACGATGAGAGATCCGTGGATCTCGCCATCACGATCGCGGTCTGCAGCAGGACGAATATCCACGAGAAAGACGGGCACCGGGTATGTGGGGTCGTGGAGTGCGTCGTAAGCTTGTTGGGGCGTCAATCGTTCGAGTTTGGCCCGGGCGTCGGAGAGAATTTGGTCGATGCTGCGAGATCCAGAGGGAGGAGAATGTGGATTGTGAGTGTGCACGGAACTGAACAATATGTCCCACAAGGCGGCTTCGTGGTATGCTGAGGAGCCGATATGTCGTATGGACGCAGCCTGAGCAATGAGAGTGCCCTTGTTGTCGACTGCATCCACCCGTCCTGGAAATTTGGAAGAGGCGAGAAGCACAGCCCGCTGCATATCATCCTCATCTGACCCGCAGATGACGAGTGCATCTGAAACACAGGTATTACCACCATCGTTGGCTTGCGATGCACTGGTGGTGACTATCGCAAAAAGATACGTGGATGAAGGCAGGCGGGCGGATATATGGGAAGCGACGAGTCGAAAAAAGTTATTGTCCTCTTCCTTCGAAAAGTGGATACCGATGCGGACACCGTCGACTGTGCACGCATTGGTAATTATGCGGAGTGCGATACTCTGGGCAACCTCCTCAGAGTCATGCGCATCTGAAAACGTTTGAAGGTTGGTGGGGGAAGTGGGAGGTAATTCGATGTGTTGGTGCTCGAGAGCGACAGTGGACGATGGCACAGTAGAGAATGACATGATGAAATTTTTGACTCAACCGTCGAAATCGAAAACGCAAAGGAGAATGTTTGAATCAGCATATACAAGCGGTCCTGCAATATAAACACAGCGGATTGGGGCAATACCATCATGTATCATGATCCGTGTGCGCGGTCTGCGAACGCAATTATCTTCATGGCCACTGGTGTTGTGCAACGTAGGTGTGGGGTTCTCGTATACTAGTATGGCATTATTTGCTGGCAAAACACTATGCTTACCGGGAGAGGACAAATGTCCGGTGTGGGTTCTCCGCAAATTTGTCCTTTGTGAAATAACGCTCGATTTGTTGAGCGACTATATCTGCCAGTACCACCGTAGGTAGTTCATATGTGAATCAATATGCTTGATAGTCTGTTTTAGCCTGCAGACCATTTTATAGAGGAAAGAAGATGGTGAACTCCTCAAGATCAGATAGGGCGTGACCAACCCGCGGAGTACCAAAATTTTCAGAGGCGAGCAACAACGTTACATACTACAGGAAACTATGGAGAGCCTGACAGGAATAATCATTGGACCACGTCCTTTTACATAGACTTCGACACCATCCCTGCACTATTCAATATTCAACTCCGAAATCTAGCCTGCTTCACCAACCCAGCATTTGTGGGTGGATAATTGCACCCTGTCGCGGCGACGACGTCGTGCTCACTGTCTCATGATACCGACGGGTCTCGTCGATTTCATCATCTGTCTTGGGCTGAGTCCATACTTGGCTTCATCATGATGCACCTGTGCTTGTGCATTTTTTCTTAGATCCATTCAACCGACAGATCTCTAATTTGACTACCAGGCCGCGTGCTTGGAAAGCAGTGTTTTCTTCACAATGCAAAACACTCCCATGTGACAATGGTTGTCAGTTTCACGTTGACTATTGCGGTGCTCAATAATACATTGCTTTAAATACCAATCTTGTCTGTTCACAGGTTCACTGGTGGCCCCCGCCCGCCGCATGACCTTGGGCTTAGACTGTATACCTGAAAATAACATGTCTGTCATGAATCCCAATCGGCATTTCGTTGGCTGCATCAAGAGAGAGATCCACGAATTAGCCTTCGAGGCCAATGTTAGATGAACAGATTTAATTTGCGCAGTACGTTCCATTTCGTATGACCTCCCATATCAACATCAACAGCGATAATCGCTCATTTCAATAGCCTCTCGAACTCAAGCTTAGTAGGCCACCGAGAAGACTAGGCACAGTTGATCATTTCCAGATAATTTCGAAGGCATCTGCATTGCTCGAGCATTATGAACATCTGTCCAATCAGATTGGCTCCGAATTAAGTATTGCGCCATCAATCATGATAACTAAAGCAAAAGCAGAAGCATGACTCACTATCGCGACGTGGCGTTTGGGCTGCCGGCTCAATTTTGGCACTTTCAAAAAACGATCAATATGATGATCAGCATGCAAATACTTCAAGCTGTAGCCTGTTGGGTAAGTCTTCGTCCAACAAGTACCGAGTACTGATTGATCATCGATTCCCTACCCAATAGGTCATGCGCTGCTATGGCTATTTCGGCTGCGACCCTGGCTGATATGTAGGATACTCGAGAGCCAGGGACCATAATTGGTATCTTTGCTGCATCTCTCTTAGGCCCCACCCTGGGCCCTATATTTGGCGGGTCGTTGTCACAAGACTTCAACTAGCACGCTTGTTTCTACTTCCTGCCGTATTCTTGTCCTTCTTCATCCTGTTTGAGGATACATACCAACGTGAACGAAGTTTCACCTATTGCTCCGCTTTATAGCAACTAGCCCCCGTATGTACCCATACACTACTGGATGCGTTGGTATAATACTCCGTACTCTACCGTTTGCTTCATCCACCGCCAATCTCATGTATGGTATGCGGGTTCACCGTCTTCCATACTTCTACTATATGTGCCCGTCTAAGGTATATGGTCCAGCTTCGTTTGGCTTGAACGTCGCTGATATGATCTGGTAGGTTGAGCTGGACAGAGCGTGAGCTTATACATTCGGACCTCGAGTCAAAACACCAGGCCGTTGAACACATTCTTCGATGCCCCATTTGAGGTTTTTCATCCCTTGTCTAGATGTTGATAAGGCCAATACGGCACGTAAATTCGAATTCGAGATAGCCGCGGCTACCGTCAGCTTTCAAGCGACGTCATGAGGATATCGTAAGGTGATCACTTCAAAATATCTTTGCGCATTGCAGCGGAATTCTATTGAGCTTTAGATGCAGCTAAAAGGCTAACGAACCCATGAATCCAACCAAATGAAGAGGTGGACATGCATATAATCTCCTGTTTTTGGTGGAAGACTCTGATATGGGAATTGGCGATACAACTGTGCGCCTACGATCATGAGTTCTTGGCTGCCAGTGGGTTGCAACTTGCGACGCTTGCAAGTCTAGCGACTTATGAGTTGTGCCATCAATAGAAAAGCAAGCACTCAGCATTATGCATGATGAATTGGAGAGACTACGGTTGAATAATCCATCGATAACGATGAATCATAGTAGTCAATATCACACCACAGATTCAAGTTTCCTACCCATGAGCGCCCGCGAGTACCCAGACTTTTGAGTCGGACGCGTGACCCGTACTGCCTGATCCACGATTCACTCGCGGGTGCTGCCCTGGGGGGATTGGGGGGGGAGGAATACCTGGGCAAACGTCAAGCCGTAAAGTCAGATGGTGAAATTGAATAGAGACCACCGTGGGACATGACCGTATTCCTCAGTAGTACGTTTCGGAAATAGAGGGAGACAGTCATGTCCATTGTCCACAGAGTAGTAATCCCGTTGCCCTCGCGTCGCCCATGATGCGAGTACGCAGTAGATTCGTAACCAGTCGGTATCACTCGTCTCTGAGATGCTTAAGTGTTTGACGTAGAAGCTTAAGTACCAGGCTGACTTTAGGACAACGTTATTAGATCAAGGAAGACCGAACAAAATGCGCACCCTACAATCCGTTTGCAAAATGTGTGGCAGCGTGCGGAGTTGAGATAGTAGTAAGACTTGGTCACGCTGCTAGTGTGCAAGTTCCTCAGGAAAGGTCACGGTAGAAACAACTCATAGACCCGGAAGTCATAGTCTGTGTTTCGGTTTACACGCTGTCATAGCCGAATCAATTGCCCACGGGAAGCGAACACTAAAATTCGTTGGACCGACCTGCAACTTGAACTGTCCTTTCTTCCTTGCTCAGCGATGTTGTTGTTTCGGCGTGTGCCCCGGTCTTTCAACCGGGCGATCAGTGCTTCCATCTCTTATCGATCATCTCTCGGGGTCACAAGCACAAGTAACTTGAACTTTCGAGCTGCTGTACGCACCATGTCTGTTCACCACGGAGAATCTGCCGTTCGACCAGAGCCGGACAAGGTCCTGAAGGATATTGCAGACTATGTTCACAACTACCAGGTCACTTCAGATCTTGCGTTCGAAACTGCACGACTTTGTCTCATAGACACTATTGGATGCGGATTGGAGGGTCTGAATTTCCCGGAGTGTACCAAGCTCCTTGGACCCGTTGTAGAAGGCACCATCGTGCCTAATGGTGCGAATCCTGATGCGAATGAATGATAGATTGCTCACCTGTTCGATACAGGCACCAAGGTTCCCGGAACGAATTACCAGCTGGATCCTATTCGTGGCGCATTCAATATTGGCACCATCATCCGCTGGTTGGACTTCAATGACTGCTTCCTTGCTGCTGAATGTGAGTAAGACAATAATGAACAGTTTGCTATCAAGCCAGAGGCATAGATTGGCGAGCAGTGCTAATGCGTGATAAATCTTGCACATGAGCTCACTCCACATTCTAGGGGGTCATCCTTCAGACAACTTGGGTGCTATTCTCGCGGTTGCGGACCACCTTGCTCGTCAGGGACAACCTTTGACCGTTCGCGACATTCTCGAGGGCATGATCAAAGCACACGAGATTCAAGGTGGCCTTGCCCTGCTTAACTCTTTCAACCGCGTTGGTCTCGACCACGTCGTACTCGTCAAAGTTGCTAGTACCGCTGTTGTCTCCAAACTTCTGTAAGTGCACCTAATTTGGAATCAAATGCAGCAATTAAATGGTACACGTAGCGGTCTTTCACACTCTCAAACGATCGATGCCGTTTCGCAAGCGTGGGTCGATGGTCAATCCCTCCGTACTTATCGTCATGCACCGAACACCGGCCCTCGCAAGTCGTGGGCAGCAGGTGATGCCTGTTCCCGTGCTGTCAACCTCGCTCTTCTTGTCAAGAAGGGCGAGCTCGGTCTCCCCTCAGTCCTTACCGCCAAGACTTGGGGTTTCTATGACGTCCTCTTCAAGGTGAGATACTCTCAAGGCACAGCAGTTCCACCCACTGAACCAAACCTCCAGGGAAAGCCATTCGAGTTCCAAATGCCCTTCGGCTCATACATCATGGAAAACGTCCTCTTCAAGATCTCGTACCCCGCCGAATTCCATGCCCAAACCGCAGTTGAGGCCGCACACACCATTCACAAACAGCTCAAAGCAATCGGCAAATCCTCAGACGACATTAAGAGCGTGCGCATCCGTACACAGGAGGCTGCCGTTCGCATCATCGACAAGCAAGGTCCCTTGGACAACTTCGCTGACAGAGAGTAAGCATCACAACCCATCCATGACAGTTCAGATTCGCTCATGGGTCACTCTAAAGCCATGCGATAAGCTACATGGTTGCATACCCGCTAATCTTTGGTGAGCTAACCTCGAACTCGTACACCGACTCATCTGCTGCCGATCCCCGTATCGATGCGCTACGTGCCAAAATTCACTGCGTGGAGGACAGTACATTCTCAGTGAACTATCATGAACCGTCAAAACGTTCCATTGGAAATGCACTCCTCGTCGAATTGAACGATGGCACAGTTCTTGATGAGGTTGAGGTCGAGTACCCTGTTGGACATAAGCGTCGCCGCGAGGAGGGTATCCCTCTTCTCATGGAGAAGTTCAAGAGGCACATCTCCACACATTACAATGAGGCCCACCAACAGAAGTGAGTCGGCGTACTTTATGCAGTTTAGTACCAAGTGCTGACCCGTCCCACAAGAATCCTGGCAACCGTAACTGACGCGCAGTCACTGTTCAAGTTGCCAGTCGACAAGTTCACTGATCTGTTCGTTAAGCCGTGAAATGGCACATGTACATGTAATTCTACTCGATAACAATTGGGAAATCCCCCGAAATTGATACATGCGTGCGATCTGTCCAAGTTCGTCTATCAACCGTATGCGTGCAAGATGAATGTCTTTGACCGTCCCCGAGCGATTCGCGAAAAAAAAAAAAAAAAAAAAAAAGGATGAAAAACGATGTTTGAAGAAGACAATCGTGATTGGTAAAAAACCGCAGTCTGGTAGGAACTTCATCGAGCAGAAACTGAACATGCGTTGTTCCTTGTTTTCCTCCCGCGTGACTTCTTCTTGAGCTGCTGGGACGTGTCCACAACTCCCTCTCCTTTGGACCGCGATTGCATGGGGCTTTGATAAAAGCACTCTTCCTGTTCCTGCGCCGAAGGAAGACGAACTTTTGCGGGCGATGCTCCATGAGGGAACGAGTACGGCTGGGCTTCATATTCGTCAACGGAGTCCGGGCTAGGAACGCTCATATGACTAACAGCAGAAACGCCAAGATGCTGTTCTTGGTGGTATCCGCGAGGTGTTACATTGTCGTCGGAATAGTTGCGGGAGGAGAGACTGCGCTGGTGACAATCGGTGAACCGATAAGCAGGTGTAGACGAGATGTTTGCAAGACCATTGAGCTCTTCTTCTGGTACAGAAGACAGTCGACGTTGTATCAATCGCGCAAGGGGAACAGACCTAGGTTGCTGATAGGAGATACTGCGAGACCGCGACCCGGGGGACTCAGGTGAGGGAGGAGCAACGGAGACAACGGTACGACCAGCACTGACGGGGTGACGAGCTGCTGCCGTAAGAGGAAATTCAGCGGTACCAGTATGACGAAGCTGCTGAGAAGACAGTGCCTGCCGATCGCGCAGATAGTTGGCCAGTCCGCCAGAAACATCCGAAGGATGCTGATGGACTGCAGAAGGGACGTCCCTGTCATAGCGCGAACCAAAGCCACCATTTCCATCGTGAAAACGAGTATCGACATTATTATCCTGACGATCGTACAAGAGCCTAGCTTGGTGGGATGCATCCAAAAAGGGGAGCTGTGTTTGCTGGGTATGATAAGGCAGACCTGGGGTGTTTTGAATGACCATCTCCGGAGATAAGGAAGGATACTGATAAGGCGAGAAGTTTGATGACCACTGGGGAGAAGAAGAACTTGGCGGAGTAGGCAAACCAGCCTGTTGCTTGAGACGGAACTCCTGACGTTGACGATACTGCTGAGCAATCTCCATGGCGGACTGACGTTGTGCTGCATTGACCACCTCATTGAGACGTGGTTCTACGAAGATTTTCGGGTAGACCGGAGTGGTGCGAGGATGATTCGAAACCGGAAAAACTGGCTTAAGACCTTCAGGGTAAGCTTGATTGAGTGCAGTGTTCTGGAGCGACTGCTGTGTGAATGCGAGTTGTAAATCCAAGAAAAGTTTTTGATCATTGAACGATGAGCCAAAGCCTCTTTCGTGAACCTCCGATTCGCGAATAGTCGGTATATCGGTTTCTGATCGCCAAGAACCTGAAAAAGGAAGACCGCGAATGGCTGGTTCAGCTTTTGACTCACGTGGATGGGATGTCTGTGAGTGTCCATGAATGCGACGTTCATAGTCAGGATAACGATAGGTAGTGGAATTTCCTCCGCCAGCGACCCCTTTGAACGTTTTCTTGTTATTCACGGCCGTTCGTACCTGACAAGGTTTTTGGAGCGTGTCTCTCTTTTGCGTTTGCTGTTTGACTTGGGAGTGAGGGAAGGCTTTATGACGTGTTTCGTCATCCGTATGCTCACTATCACCACGATATTGACAAGATTCGCTTTGGCCTAAACCCCATATCATTCGAGATACGTTGCCTGGCTCCTCGATGATCGTCCCTTCAGCTCCCCTAGAAATGGTAAGCTACTTTGCGTTCATTACATATTTCACCTACGATGGACAGCGAGCATATGGGAGAGAAAGCGGACCATGAAGTGCTGGGATAGGGCGGGGAGGAGAACTTGCCCATGTCGTCCAGCCTAGATAGAGAAAAATGAACCTCGGCGTCACAATTGTTGGTCGATACGAACCATTTCCGGGTGAAGGTGACTTTTTGGAATATCTTTGTCGTAGGAATCCGTCAGGAAGTTGCGTATGACTGTCGATGATGAGGATCGACTCGGGAGACGACGGTGGAGAAGGCGTGTGCGGGACATCTGAAGGCGGGGGACAAACTCTGACTCGATGGCGTTTTTCAACGTATGACGATCCGAAGGATGCACCTGCGGAAGGAGACTCGATCGAATCCAGAGACAGGTCAGCAGCAGCCGCGAGGTACTCAGGCATGGAAACCACCCGCATGCCGTTGTGAGAGTCCAAGTTGATATGCCGCGCCAACATGTCGTCCGGCATGGAAATCATTCGTCTTTCGACAGTTTTTCCTTCCGGGCGACGTTCGACTAAGAATAATTTGCGCCTAGGAACGCGACGAGATATCAAGGGTGCGCACATGGGGCTAACGGGGCTATTATGTTGGAGATTGGACCGACTATATGCGTTGTTATCATCAACAAGAAAAGGTGAGGGAGGTAGTTCTGAGTCGACTGATGGCAATTCGATTGTGATCTCGCGTGAAAGCGGCCTAGAGTCACAGTCATCGGAGGTTGCTTGAGGAACACCAACCGCTGCCGAAGTCTGATGGGGAACATGAAGTTTGCACTCCTCGATCAACATACTCCTTCAGATATCCCATGATTCACAACCGCGAAAAGGCTGCGTCTGTCTAAGGGCGATCGAGGTAGTTCAGGTGGCAAGCAAGGTGAGGATGATAGCTAAGAACTTCGAATTTATATATTCTTTCCGTAATACTTTATATGATTGTTATTTACGTAAAATGATCATGTACTAGTAGCAAACATCATCATCTAGACTGAGTGACCTACTTAGCCTAGCCCCAACCGGTGATCCTGTGCAAGCATCGTGACGATGTGGCTCATGGATATATCATATTAATCGTCTATATGGTATATGGTATTTGCTGATCCGACCAAATTGAAACATAGAATGATGCGCAGCACACTATAAGTACTATCGGTACGTCCGGAATGGTTTGGAGCCATCTACTCGTCTATTTCTGCTAAGTGGACTGCGTGTGTTTGACTCGCAGGCCGGCCACATACATGACACTTGAAGCCTGAAGCCTGGTATCCACGGTGGGAAGGACCATCAAAATCACGCCGGCTGATACATTTAACGGGTTGCCGCAAATTCTCGACGCCTTCTACTGTTGCCTCAACGACATGGTTACTACTGACTTGGACGCACAGCAGATGTGAGTGATACACGCATGGATTTATCATGTATCCTGATTCCAGTGACTGAATAATTGTCTCCAGATCGTGGTGCGCTTACGCCGTCCTGGCGGGAAACAGTAAGTTTTAGTGCCTTTTATCTTTAGCGCTTTAGGACCGTAAGACGATATTGTAGGTATCCTGATATACGACCATTTGATAACTCTACCAGAAGAAATCACTTTCATCTGGCGTCGTCCAAAAACACTGGCTGCAATGTTATTTCTGCTCAACCGCTATCTCGCTCTTCTCGGCATCATCTGCAGCGCGATTTTGGAACCTTTTATTGTTTCAGATGAGGTTCTATGTTTCGTTATGCATTTTCTTAACTTATGGGCTCACATATTCTCTCTGTAGGCGTTAGTTTCACTCTGGTTCCTTGAATATTTGTTGTTTTGCTCAATAAAGACAGATGTTCGAATTATACGGCATCTAGACAACTGGACATCTTCCTCCAAGGAATTGTCATTTGCAGTGAGTAGGATTTTATTGCGAGAAGTTCACATGTTGAATAGTTCAGTGATAATGGCCATGCGCACTTACGCTCTCTACGGCTGTAGCAAACGACTGTTTACCTTGTTGACCATCATTATCATTGCTCTGGTGGTGGTGGCTTGTGTACGTGCTTGAATAAGACTTTGGACTCTGGAGCGTACTAATTGTTTCTAGGCCGTCACTTTTGTCAAAGTTTCAGGTGATGCGGCCATCTTGCCAGGAATTGGCTGCTATGAAGTATATACAACAGAAACGTATGCCATGCTCTTCGCCATTCTATGAGCCTGCTCAAAATTTGTCACAGATCCGCCCGTCAGTGAATAATTCTAGGTTCCATTTCATGCAAATCGATGACATGACATCCGAATGCAGGAATTGGGCTGGCATGGGTGGCCTTCTTTGTCTTCGATTTACTTATCTTCGTCCTCACAGTATACAAGATTTGCAAAACTAGGGGTTTTCCATGGTTATCTCTGATAACCAGGAGAAATATTTTTGATGTCGTATTTCAGGATGGTGATTCTCTCGTTGTATTTGTATCGTGAACTTGAACGCTGAATCAACGGAACGCAGGTGCGATGTATTTTGGGTAAGGTTACTGGTGAACTTGTCATTCGGCCGAATTTAATCCGGATTCCTTCAGAGCTATGGCACTAATTAATATACCAAACATTCTGACATACTACGTGAGTCAACAAATTGATATCTATGGAGCTTCACAGCGCTCACAACTTGAATCAGTCTGCTTCTGTGAGCATGAAAACTCACATCTTACGTTGACGATTTTCTCAAGATTAGCAAGGTTGCCATCAGAGGCGGTCTGTGCGATTTCACCAGCTGGTGAGTGTTTGATGCGCGACAAATATGGATCGATTCTAAATATAACTTCCAGTATATCCGTTACTCTCACCTCTCGGCTGATGCTTAACCTGCACAACACCATTCACCCTGGTGTTTTGTCCGCCACCGTGCAGGACAACGAATACTGCCTAGATGCCATCACCACCAGGGTAGACGTACAGTCCGCTATCTCCTCTCACTATCTAGGCTAGTATTTAATCATGTGTCTGGATGCCAAGCTGGGAATGTTAGCTATTCCCGAACCCAAACCTTTTCCAAAGGCAGAGCAGCGTGACAGGGTGGCGGACGACGCTGCACTTCTCGCTGGCTTGTGGCTTTGCGTACTCAAAAAACCTATGACGAACATTGTCACTTCTGGTTAATTATTGACCAATCGAATTGAATCATGTATACTTTCGTCCGTAACGTTATAACCTTTGATCGCTCAGTACTCATCCTTTGTATATTTGACATAAACGGGTTGCTCCTCTCACAATGTATATCGTTTGAGACAAAATTGTTTTTTGTCAGTGATATTGAAATTTCGCTGGTTGGTGGGTGTAGTATGTGGTAATAACTGTCTCTCTCTTTTGTCTCACCTTCGCATACTAAGAACGTAGTGTCCAACTCTCTGAATCAATTAAATGGCTAAGCGTCGCGGTATCTTCCACTTCTCGAATTCAAACCGCGTGTAAATTAGGGCATGTTCCATTTCAAAATCATGTTTTGTTTTCGTGTAGTGACATAAAGGCATGGGGCATAGAGGAAAAGTGGCATAGGACATACATAGAGGAAAAGGTGGCATAGGGCATACATAGAGGAAAAGGTGGCATAAGGCATACATAGAGGAAAAGGTGGCATAGGGCATACATAGAGGAAAAGGTGGCATAAGGCATACATAGAGGAAAGGGTGGCATAAGGCATACATAAAGGAAAGGGTGGCATAAGGTGGCATAAGGCGTAGAGGAAAAGGTGGCGTATGTCATGAAGCAGTAAGAGAACCAAGGGAAAGTGGCATATGGAGAATGAAGAAAAGGGTATATGAAGGAGTGACATGGGTCGGACGATAAATAAGAAAGTGTCGGAAGTCACAAGTGTCATAAGTCATAAAGTGTCGTGAGTCATGAAATGTCATAATGCATAAAGAGGCATGAGATGAGTTGTAAACAAACCAGACGCGGTATCACGAGTCAAGTGAATGATGTTACGGATGGAGTTCCGTTCGAGGCGAAGCGTCTGTGGAAAAGAAGTCGTAATGTAATAGGCTGGAACTGCGTGTAAATCGTGGTGCACGAATGGGCGAAGTCCGGGGCAGATACGACGGAATAGGCTGGGTATGGAGCTGCGAGTTGACAGCAATGCGAGGCTGAATAGGGCAGGCGCCTCAAGAGTCCAGGCGAGTGAAAGAGGGTAGACTCGAAATTTGGAAGAAGAGATGGACGCTGGGGAATAAATAAAAAAATGAAAGGGGTATGAGGGAGTGACCTGGGTCGGACGATAATAAGACAGAGAAAGGTGAGATGGGTGTAACTTTGGTCGGACGATAAAAAGAAAGAGGTGAAAGGGGTATATAAAGGAGTGACTCGGGTCGGACGATAGACGAGAGGAAATGTGAAACGGGGGACACATACGTGATTCTGCTAGTAAAAAGAGTGACGGCTGTCGGGCAACAGAGCGTAAATACAAAAGAACGGCAAGATGGTGACACATACATCATTAAGTAGAAGAGCGATGTCAGACGACATGCTTTGACCGGTGTTCGAACGTTCAGCGGAAAGATGGAACGGTAAATGGTGACATGTCTGTCACCCAGTAGAAAGAGCGAATGCGGTTAGACTAGAGGAATGACGACGAGTTAGACTAATGTTCAGAGACATTGAAAAAAATGAGACTTACTAATACCACACTATTGCGCTTGAATGCAGAGCCACCTCACATCATTCATTATGCTTGGAGTGTCCGACGTAGAATGGGTGCATGTGCAACGTAGCTGGGCGGGCGGGCGCTATATCAGACCACGTGAGGAGAGGTCAGGAGGAGAGAGGCAGTAGGAGTGCAGCGTGTGCCTGCGCTGGTCCCCATTTCAGATAGGGGAAACGCCAGCCCGGGCGAGGTTTGAGAGAGTAGAAGAAGGATATTTTTTTTAATCAACGCGGCCAACGTTGAACTTTTCCGTATTCTGGAAAGAGAAATAATGAAAATGAGATTCTGTTGGCATAGGGCGGTCACTCACTTTGAGGCAGGAAAGAGAAACAGATTTGACATTTGCTTTACCAATGATGTGCGACATTTGGTGAGGGAGATAGATGACGAGAGAAAGATAGCGAGAGAAAGACGACAAGAGAAAGACGACAAGAAATCAAGGTGATAATAGAGCTGGACAAGATAGCAGGCCGGCAAGACAGCGAGATAGCGAGAGAGCAAGAAATAACAAACGATCAGTGACAAAGACAACGCAATATAATCGTCCGTGACACGCAGATGAGGGCCAGATGTGACGATGACAGATCGTTGGCACTCGGGGGAGGTCAAGGCTGATAAAGAAGAGAAAGCTCGGGCGGGCCCAGGCAGGTATTTATACGTTTTGGAGTGTCGGCCTCATTAGTACTCACGGGATCCGACGTACGTCACAGAGCGTCATGGATATTGGGCATTGAGCTGACAGTAGACAGCGACGGACGCGCCCGCCGGTGTCAGCTTCCAGTCAGCCGCAAGCTTTCAAGTGTGTAAATAACTTAATGCAAAATTAGGGACTAGAGCGGTGACTCAAAGATAACTTCAAGTTAGTAGGGAGAACTGTATGGAAGGAAGAGGTTGACGTTGACAGACGCGACGCGTCTAGGTCACGTGTTACCATGAAGTTACTTTTAATTATGTAAATAATATTGCAATCAACAGTCTAAACTCTGTTCCTACTCGACATGAATCGCGCTTTTGACTCTTACTTTGGACCACCATCGGAGCCCATCAATGTCGCAGATTTTTTACAGCAAGCAAACTCTGCGGTACTATCAGGATCCTTTACCAATGCCTCATGGGAGCAGCTAACTTCCGAGCATAGAAATGCCGTCGAAGCAGAGATCAATGAAAGGTACTCCTCTCCCCCACTATATCATATCAGCGCTCATTGCACACAAGAATAGCATTTCAGACCTCAGGTCATCTCTTGAACAAGTATGGGACAACCCTATATTGTCAGCGCACGTACTACGCCAGCACGAGTCTACAGTAGCATTCGTGCGCAGCCAAGCAGATACACCAGCACCGAAAGGAAGAAAGCGCAAACGCCATGACGCTCCGGAAGGTAGCGAATATGCACAAGAAGTACTACAACTCCAAGAGAAGCTTGACGGTGTCAACCTCAGGTGTTGGCAGTATGTATCTCTCATTGTATATCACTCTTTCCTTACTTCCGTGCAGATTAACCATGGAGTCAGCGCTTTGTATGCGTGCTGCTAAAAATTCTGACTACAACGCGCTCGACGCACCCAAGAAGGCGGGAACAGGCGTCCTCCATACCCTTGACCTTGATCACGGGAACATCGGCGGGACGCATAGCTCGACACCAGACTCTCTCAGGAGCCCCAGTCCCAATGCAATTCCATATCCAAACGCTGTCATTTCGCTGACAGTTTACAATCGTATCTCTTATCTTCCAAGCTGCCTTACGCGCTCCTCACAACACGCCGTACTGTCAACACAAACATTGGGTGATCTACTGCGCGTCCTGCCGTGTGCTTCCAGTAATATACCGATGGAAGAACTAGACGCTGAAGGGGATATATCTGGCTATAATGTCACCGATCAAACAGGAGAGCATGCCGGGTGTTTGTTCTCCATAGAGGACCGCATCTACGGGGACGGGGGAGAAAATGACGATTATGCAGAGTATGTTAGAACAACGCCGCCGTCAACAGTCACCTGACTCTCTTCCTACAGAAAACTAATCGCTCACTTCCAAAAACTCCCCCAAGACAAACGACCACAAGTCAAAAAAGCGTTGACCTCGGCCAATGAAACCACATTCAACGTGCTCACGCTAAGAATGCATCAACCTTACTGGATACTACACCAAAGCAACTGCGAACACTTTTTCACCATCGATCAGATCAGGCATGCACCGTTCCGTTCTAATCCCATGAAACCCCTAAATATCATATACAGGCTCGCACACGCTTCAGATCCGCCATCAGGCTATCCATTAACGCTCCACCTCGCCCCAACAGTTCAAGATCTCTGCCGTGCCTGTGGGAAAGTTCCAGCCGTACATTCTATTGTGGGTGATATACGTCTTGGTGAAAGTCCGTGCCTCTTGTGTGGACCTTGTTGGCGCACGATGGGACCTCCTAAAAATACTCAAGGCGTGATGGTTGTGCCTCTCGTAATACCTTTCGTAAATCACTAACACTGTCGAGAGTCGAGACCAGAACATGCTTAGGCATAGGTCCCAATATATATAAGTGACCCTGAAAGTTGATGGGCTGAGGCCGATAACTCCAAAAGTCAATGTTCCTGGATAAACGGCCATCAGCCAGAATGGATCATGATTTATGCGTGGCTTTGCTGCTTCTATTATGTACGTTGCTAGGTATAATAAGTAAAATGATAGTACACTGAAGTGCAAAAAGATCACAACATCCCAAAGGAACGATGAATGCGTGGTAGTCTGTAGATCTAGTGGATAGTCTGTGTGTATGCGAACCATAAAACTCAAATGAGCCCCCAAAGAAAATGAGAAGCGGTGTGGACCTCAACCATCAAAAAATAGAGTGCAATTTGCGATCGAGGTTTCCACGACCACTTCACCAATTTGTTCCCCAAGGAAGCCCCCTGAGCCTAGTCCCCAGCCTATCCAGCCATACGTCCGTGTGTCAGAAACATAATTCAGGAAGAAACTGCGGAGCGAGGTCGTATTGTATGGATTCAAAGAAGAGGCAGTGCCCTGAGACACTGACACAGCGCCTAGTATCGTATCGGCCTGAAAAAAGCCCTGAAAGTACTGATCAAACACGGCATTAATCGGACCAAGGTCATTCTCCAGACGCAATTTTATAGCTGTCGGCGGTGATGCCGGATCGTGCACGAAGCTCGTTGTAGCTTGGCCATTAAAAGTGCGCATATTTGCAACGAAATTCGGACGCTGGGGAGGACCTCTGTTAGGTGCGTTCAGCGTGATGTTGGCCTTCAAATTGCTAAAAAAAAAATCATGTTTGGTGAAGAAAAAACATTGAACCTATAAGCCACGAACCTATTGCCAGTGTTGACTTCAAGATATGTTGGGAAATTCGAGTCTGGGTCATTGAAGAGTGAGGCGTTGACATTGATAGGTCTACAAGAACATATCAGTTACATACTTTCAACGGCGAGGAGAATACCTACGCTTGTATCGTGTTCACAAAAAGGGAACGTGAGGCTGCAAATTGACCGAAAATTGGCTCTAAAGATGTTTGAACCAATATGTCGTCGGCTTCAATGGACTTCAAAGCAAATAAAATAAATAAATGAATGGTGTATAAGCATGATCACTTACACCGACAAAAATTCTGGAAAGGGGGCCTTCAATAGAAACTCTCTCGAAATTGACATAGTCGCCAAAGTCGCCAAACATTTGGGTGAACAACGGTAGGTAGGTAGCAAAAGAGTTGACTTGAGCAGTTATAGCTGATTGTGGGTACAGCAGTGTGATGTTAAAGAGCAGTTGATCGTTCAAAGACATGTTATCTGGAACCTGTTTCATGTCAGTATGAGACTCGCTAGAACAGAATAACGCTACATACATAGATAGCGAGGCCAGTGACGTTGTTTGACAATGCAAAGCAAACCTGTGTCTGGCTGAAGATGACATCATTGGATGATTGCATATTGACCAATATTGTTGTATCGGTCACGGAGGTGTTAGGGTTTAAGCCGACGAATAGATCACCCAGGACAATATCCATGTTACTTATGTATGACGCATTCGACGTGATGCTGAATCGACCATTGGATGATACGGTGTGTGAAACCCTAGGAAAGAGTCATGAATGTTCCCTCAGGGATTGAATATAACATACTCTCCGACCATAAAATGTTGCGCGTCCTCGAGTGTTCCGGTAGTTGCCCATACGTTGCAAACAGATGAAACTCCGTCTGGAAGGGAGCTTGAGATGTTGTTGATATTCGTGACATAATGTGATGCAGCATTTTTCCCTGGCCAAGGAACAGCATAGTTCGTGGGATAGGAAAATGGTTTGTTGTCGCCCTGAGAGTTCTGAGTAGTTTTGAGAAAACAGGTAACGCATACGACGGAAATACTAACTTTTACAATGAGAGGAATGCCAATGATGATTGAAAGAATAATATATATGCCCAAAGCGACTATGCCAGCCCTCCAGGACCTGGAGTCGATAAAGCGGCGCTTTGGAGGAGGTTTGTAAAAGGTGATCAAGGAGTCGTTGCTCAAGCCATTTAAAGCCAGAGCCTGCGACGTTTCATAGTCAGGCAGAGGACTGAATGGACGACGGCCTGCCGCGCGCTCTGGATAACGAAGGGCAGGAGTTGTGACGGGAGGATCCTTTGAATTTAGAAGGTCGTCTTCTTCCTGAATTATCATCCCTTCGAATTCACATATGGCCTGTCAACGAAAGCGAAGGCGACGAAGAGAACGACGATGCGAAAGGTAGTTTGCGTGGGAGTTCGTAGCACTACCAAATGCTTTCATATGATTACGTAATAACACCGCATACATATCACGCGAATCGCAACGCCGACATCACTGGAATTTTGATGGCTTGATGCTGTACGTAAGTTCTTGATCACTAGTGCCGTCGTATTCACTTCGAAGTATACGTCAACCCATCTCGGGTGACTCGGCCTTGAGTTTTTTTGATGCATGGTGTTGAACAAGGTAACCGAAGGCGGGACACTTCAGCACACCCACTATACCGACTTGGGAATCCTTGTAATTCACACAACACAGTACACCGCTGCTTATACCCACGTCACGAGTCGCACATCGGCATATAGAATGAAAAGCTAAGATCATATTTGGAACGCAACGGTACAATCTAAACTACTGGTAGAGAAAAAATTGAAACATTGGAGGTCAGTTGAAGACCCGAGAAGTCGAGACAAAACGTGATTCGGTTGTTGAAACCAGGTCTACTCAATGATAGTCGAGAAAAACGGTAGACGTTTACCAGATGCGAGTCTCCAAGAGCAGGTCACTGTTACCCTCGAGCCCAATGCAAGCCTTAAGGAAACTCTCGAGCGCGTTACGCTGTCTACCGAGGCTGTTGACAACATCGGTACCTGGCAACGTGTATTAGCATGATGATAGACTAAGTGAAGCCGACACCCACCAGGCTTAACGAGAGGGGCCTTGCACATGTATGAGAGCAGCGACAACACAGGGTAGAGGGGCGCAAAATCATTCTGGTCCTCTCCGCGGTATTTGACGCGAGTAAGCAGCTCAGTAAGGATAGTCAAGTCAAGAATCAACGGAGTCGCAAGTAAAGAATCCTACAACAGCAATGAGCATCTGGTAACATATCAAAAGCGCGTTCCATACCTCACACTCGTTGAAGATGTTGATGGTTTGTCTCCCGCCACAGAAGATCTCAGAGTAGTACTCGTCGATTGCTCTCTTCGAGTCACCAACTGCAGGCACGTACTTGATCACAACAATGTGATCGGGGTGCTCGCCTTTGGCCGCTTTGCCCGTTGCGCCCAGAACAGGAGGTTTGTAGAGTAAACGGTTGGCATCGACCATATCATCCACAACGCTGCTCTTGCTGATTTCCTTGCTCTTGAACTGCGGTTCCGCGCTCAAATTGTGCCCATCATTGTTCCCAAGATGGTTGTACGATGCGATAGAAAGCGGTTTGATACCAGCATTCACGAGGAACTCCGCAAGCACGGATTTGAGCTTCGTTTGACCAGACTTTAGGTCATCACCGCCAATGAAAGACTTCTCACGCTCAGCCAAGTCAATGACACCAGGCACAAAGGTGTTCTGAGGAGCACCGTTAACGAATGGCTCGCCTTCGAGAATGGCAGCAACAGCAAAGAGCGTCGAGGGAGACACCTCCGAGTGCGAAGTCTTGATCGCAGCAAGGACATTGTCAGCCGTATCATTAATGCCAGGGATGATGTCACTGTAGCGTTCCGTGTTCGCGGTCCAGAACACGATTACTCGGTCAAGCTGGTTCTCGTCTTTGAAGCGGCGAATGTCAGCACGAATGTGCTCGAGATGAGCCTGTTTATCTGTGCCAGGGACGACATTGTCCGCACGCGCTTCCTGGTTGGCAGCAATGAAATCGGGATAGTAAATGGAGGGAAGAGGACGACCGAGTAGGGCCATGTGCGGCTTGACCTGGCGTTGAAGATCATAATCGAGCACCTTGGCACGTTCCATCGCCTTGTCCATGGGCAGGCCGGAAATGTCCCAGCCACCAAGAACAAGGTCGTTAGGGTGTATCATAGGAAGCACGTCGGAGATAGGGACGTGGACTTCCTTACCGGTGCTCGGGTCAGTGCCAATGCGGACAGTGGATGCACGGAGGACAGAGCCAATGTAGTTAGGCTGCTGAATTCCCTCTTTGGTGTGCCAGGCGATCTGATGCCTGTTTGCGATGATGGTGGCACAGAGAGTGGAACCATTGTTACCACCCAAACCGATCATCATAAGTCTGTTGCGCGTCCATGTCAGATTATATTATATTTCGCAACTGATAGATAACAAACCCAGTCTTGCCAACCTTGCGGGTGGTTTGGAACTCATAAGGCTTGACGGTAGGTAAAATAGTGAACTGGCCGTCTGAGACCACGACATCAGCACCGCGATTGAGGTACTTTGCGGTGATGTGATCGTCGGTGTAGACGGTGTTTTCGGACTGGACAGTGATGTAGTTGGGGCGACGGACGGCGGTCGGGTGAACTGGAACGATTGACTCCAATTCAGAATCAGGGGTATTATAACCCGAAGAGTTTGTGGCGGGGAGTTGAGTAGACATTGCGGCGAGAGTATATATACGAGTGGAATTGAAGTTGAAACGATGAAGACGAGCTTAATGAGCAGCTAGAAAGCCTGCGCAGGAGTGCTTGGAGCCTCGATGGGGGTTGTGGGGACTACCGAGTTGGTTCGAGTACATGCAAAGAGCTCAAAAAACTCTGAGTGTGAAGGTGTCTGACACCAGAGACAACGATGAAGACAACTACTGCGGAAGGTTAGAGCAGAGAACGCTGGGGAAAACGGTAAATGCTTTGAGGTTTATATAGGCAAAAAAAATGGGGTTAGATCACGGTAATATGAGCACACACTGGCAACGGTTAGAAGATGGCCGTTAAAGAAAAAGAGGGTCAGGGACGAGTAAACCTGGCAGGCATAAAATTTATTGCAGTTAGACCTCATTGATCCCGAATGACAGCATATACATTTACGCGTTATCTTGGAACGGCAGAATCTTAGTTTGTACGTTTTATCTCTGGCGCCATCAGGCGAAAGGACACCCAAAGCCATGTGTCTTGGAGTCGAAGTTGTTCTAGCATGACAGCCTGTTTTATGGTTTTAGTAATTCAGTACTCATCGCTGATAATACAAACGTTCTGCGATTATTGTTATAACGTTATGGATGCACGCGCGTGAACACTCGGAGCGTAAATGCGGTGTCTCGGAGACTAGAGGGATTACTAGTGTGGTACTAAGTAGTACTTATGATCAGAAGGCAGCACTATTTTTATTTGTTTAAGTGCACGCTAAGGGCTGCAGGTCAAGGGAAAACATCGTCATACGTTCGACGTAAGATAACTTGGTAAAACGTTTCAAAGCTCAGCGCTCAGTTCTCAAAGACCATCTTCACTCGTCGACCAACCTCGACTTCCACTCTCAGTGCACAGAGCAAGTATCAGTGAACGAGTCTTCTGTAACTGTCTGTTCCCTGCGCAGGGTCACCAATGTTATTAGTAAAGCCCGTGTTGGCGCGTGAAGTCGCCGCGATCCTTGTCACCTCACCAGGGCCATTATACTGTACGCGCAGGGGCGCAGAGTCTGAGTCCTTAGGATCGCAAGGTGACTCCATCTTGGCATGTCATCCAATTCCCTTGTTCGCCTGCAAGAGCAGGCATCTTGTCTCTGCATTGATCGATACTGAAATCGTACTGGTTATTGGTCAACAAGTGTCGATAAAGCCCTTGCGCAGAATCACTTGCTGATATAAGCATCCGCGCCTGCATTCGATTCGCGAGATGCTTACCGGTGTGGTCGATGCCGGCTAATCTGTCGAGTTTGAAATACTTCCGGACATTAAGCACGATTCCGCGTCATACCACGAGTTTGATGGCTCCTGAGTATCGAAGGGAAGGTAGCCTGGTGGGAGCCATGAAGACAATAGGAAGAATCAAATGAAAGCCAAGCAATACGTGATATTGCTTATCATAAAGATATTATGCCTCGCAGGTTAGATTAACAATAAGACCGAGTAGTTCATAGCTCTGTCCGCAACGGGAACATGGCATCCTGCAACTGCTGCCATACCTGCAAGAACATGCTAAAGTAAGACAGGGTGTGATTCGTGCACCTTCGTATTAATTGTCGGAGGTAGTGCTGTATCGTTTCCAGGGATATCGTGTATGAGGGTGAAGGAAGGGTATGCGATTTTCTAGGCGTCGAATCGTGCTGAGGTGACTTCCGTGGCTGAGGCAGCCTGTGAGCGTCGCAATGAGAACATAACGAAGAACATACATTTCCACTGACGGCTTTTTCAGCCTCTTCGATGAGGTGGTTGGCATCGGATTCGCCAGTTTTCTTCCACATATCTCGGAAGATCTCCACGGCTTGCAAGCTCTCGCTGAAGCGGTGTAGCGTATTAATAAGGGCAACGACTTCTGACCGTTGGAGATGGTGATGATTTTTGTGCGGACTAATTTGAAGGAGGTTAGCTCATGGAAGGGTTATGTGTGAACTACCTACTCAAGGGCAGTCTCGTCCATCTCAAACAGAATTTTGAGCGCGGTTGCGAGTCCGGTAGTCTGGACTTTGCCCCATAAACGGCACTTGTCACATCCAATGCAGTCCATGATCCTTGAAACGTTCCGGAAATGCACTTTGAACTCTTCTTTCAAGATCTAGAAAGACGGATAAGATGTCAGTACATGGATATTATCTGGAGATGTTGCTCACATTCGCGTTCTCGCCTCTGAACAATACCCGCTCGTCAAACTTACCGACATGCTCTGCAATACCGATAACCTTGTTAAGAGTCTCAAGTGTGCTGGCTTCCTCCTGGATGTCCTCCGCGAGCACGTGGTCGTGAGGCGTGGGCATGGACATTGAACAGTAGTCATAGTCACGTAGGTATGGACCAATGCGTGATACAGCACGTAAGAGAAGCACAGTGTTGAAGTAAATATATTGAAGTCTCTCAGGGTGAGAGGCGATGCGGGTGACGAAGCACTCAAGGTTCGGTCCCTGTCACATATGACAGTGAGCTGGGAGTAGTGAAATTCGACAGGACTGCATACCATCTCTCCGGTTGTTTGATTAAGGTAATCCAGGCAGATGTGAGTTGATATCGATGCATGCAATCCAGATATGATCTTGTAATACACTCTCTTCTCAAGACATTCGCCGTCTGCGTTTTCTCCATTAATAGGCTGTCGTAAGACATCGGTAAGGGTGTCGGGAAGTGTGACTTGCGCGGGAGAACGAGCGGTCAACAGGTTCAGCTCCGAAAGGCCGAAGCAATTTTCTTCGTATATCGACTTCCAGACCCGATGTGCGGAAGGACCTGAGTAACCCGTATAACGCTCGGGGACTAGCGTCAGATCGACGTATTCACCCTCTACAAAGGAATAGTCGTTACACAAGAATTAGAATATGATGAAATACGCACCTGTCATATCATCGAGGAAACAAAAATCAGAATCGCGATAATAACATCCAGGCAGAGGGACGCGCTGTACGACTTATGAAAACGTTGTCTAACAGAATGCATAAGACTTACCTCTTCCAAAGGTGGCAATTCTATCTTGCTCAGAGCCGCCGCTCTCCACTTCTCTGGAATCTCACTCTAGAATGGAACTTCAGCTTGGTGAACTCAAGTGAGATGACTGATTGAGCATACCTCATCTACTGTAGTAATGCCGCACTCCCTATTCATACAGAACCCATTCTCTTGCCAGAAAGGGCATTCACGATAGAGGTCCGCCTAATAAATGATTGAGTGGTGCTCGAAGCTGTCTGAGCCGGGAACGGACCTGGAAATACTTAAAGAATGGCATCTGCACTAACTCACTGAGCACATTATATAGCTCCCCATTCACACTCTCTATCGTCTCGTAATCACATAAGGTAGTTTCTATCGGACCAGTTGTCTGTGAAGACACGTGTATGAATGATGTGTCCAGCCTCACACATAAGTACTACATACCGAATGTTGGCAGAGTGGTTCTCCATGAGCAGATTCGTGTTCAAGCACGTTCTGAACTGGATTGTGTCGTATAAGGCTGTCTCCTAGGAATGAAACCGAGCTGACGCCTATAGCAGCCAAGGCGGAGAATGCGAGAGCCACATATGCTCTATGCCAGAAACAGGGCATGTGAAGAGTCGGAATTCTGTATGGTGATGGGAAATATACCTAGGAGGCTAGATATAAAGAATGTGGTGTGTGTGCACTTCAAACTTTGTGAATTGCTTTCGTGGACTCTGATACTTCATATGTATATGTCATCGCGACAATCTGCAAGTTCCACGTCGGATATCTCAACGAGTCACGTGATCGAGGAACACAGCCGGGAAACCAACATTTTAAGTACTGAAATTACATATCATGCTACAAGGCCAGGCTGTTACAAATACTCGTACGGATCAACTCAGATAAGCCGCGAGATGAACGGTGACACTGAACTTTTTGAATCATGAAAACATGAATATGATGGTTCATAGGAAGGATGTAGGACTTTCATAGCTTGCTGGAACGTCTGTAAAAAGGGATTGTCAGTGTGCGTCTCGGACCATGTTGTTTTATACATATGTTAGTTGGTTGGTCGTTTTGCACCACGTTGTACACATGAGCTTCGCAGACGGCGAGAACGAGCGTTCCAGGACTCAATTTCAAATATATTTCGTGGATTGGGATGAGCTTTAACCCATTCTCTGCCGTATCGTAGATATTCAGCTGTCACTTGAGCTTGTTCTGTCGTAGCTGAAAGTATGTCCCCCGGTAGTCAGGGAGTATCCTCGGATCGTATAGTGCTCCTGATCTGACTTTTCTAGGGTGAGTGCGTTTTAGAAGGAGTACGAGAATAATGGATACCTTCAGCCACAGTAGGCATTGGCACGTTCACATTGGCGCTCGAGCTTGTTATGGAACTGATGGATGCCGCCGCAGTCTCTTGTCCTAACATGTTAAGATGAAGACTGCGGGTAACTGCCAATTCACTCAGAACGGTTCTCGATGAACTTTCATAGCCACCAAAAAAAATTGTCTAAAGCATGTTCATTTCGCAGAGGTACAGACAAACATGATGAAGATGAACCCGCTTGGGTAGCTTAAACTTGTTCATCGTCTGTAACAACAGACGACGAATGATCCTCTACAAACAATCATTCAGACATATAATAACGATTCAGAACAATACATATACCACCAGGCTGAAAATTCTAATTATAACCGCCAGAAAGTTGAGCAACGTCCATTTCCGATGGCCTTTGTAACTAAGACCCATCGAACCAATCACGGCCGAGCTCGACTGTCGCATCCACTCAGATAGGTCGGTCGAAAGGTCCGCCATGTATTGTACCAACCATCGACAGTAGGAACACGAACCGGCCCAAGAGTGGACTCTACAGCTGTCGCATTATGATCGGTTCGAGGCACCTGGATAGAGTATGGCTATGTGCCATGGCGCAAGCTCTTCTAATATTGCACTCAGTCACCAGTGCACTGGAATGGCGTTCACCTCCGCTCAGAATCTTCGAAGAACACCGCATAGTGTAATGTTCATTCATAGAATTTTCGCAGAATGGAAGATGAGCTTTGACTGTCACGGGACGGGACTGTGAGGATCCGGGAAAAGCATGACTGGTGCCAGAGAGTATATGAATGGTATGGGTTCTTGGTGTAGCATGTCTTGATGTCGAGCGCTCAGGGCCTGTGAGAGAAGTTAAGCATACCACGATGAGTAATAAGTATGGAAGAGTGGATCGGTGGAAGTGTTGCGTTGGCAATAGACCATGGCAGTGTCGAATGTGCCGCGCAACAACAGGAAGAAGTACAAAATGAATGCGCCATCTTGAGGATAATTCTCGGTATCACATGATCCAACCTAGGAACGAGCGCTATAAGCTTGTCATAATACTGTAGTCGATAAGGGTCCTCAGTATAGCTAGGCCGAATGATTGAATGGAGCCAAACAGGAGTGGCGTCGCGTTATGATAGTGTAGGGTTTGAATGACGAGACAATGAGTACAAAAGTGCGAAAGCGGGTATGTGAATGGGTATCGAGTTGGACAGGATAACGAGAGATATAGAGTTATATGCCGAACTGGTGGTCTCTGAAAATGGCGTGATTGAGAGAAAAGGAGTCGTGTAGCTTGCTGCCATAAGGCCAAGCCTCAATTCTCGGTATCACATGACAACCTAGGCCAGGAATGAGCGCTACTACAATGTCATATATCCGCCAGAACGGCAATTGGAACGTTCAACCGAGCTCTACCCCTTCATTAAAGATACGCTCGTCGCTCGCATAAATACGCCGCAGTCGATGTTTTGAATTGCATACCCACACTCCCTGCCTCATGTCCTCCCAAGTACTAGTCACATCCGGCATTGGATTCCTCTCGCTGCTTGCTCTGTGGAAGACGTTGTGCGGTTCATCAAGAAAACCCAATCTTGACCTTGATGGCCCCAAGGAGGGCCACTGGCTGATAGGTTCTCTACCGTGGTTACACTCGTTTTTATCATACGTCTGACTTGGGGAGCTCAGGGAATGTCCGGAAAATATTCGAGTGTGGTCTCGATTACTCCGTAAAATTGGCTGAACAGTATGGCGGAGCGGTCAAGCTAACAAGTCTATACGGAGTAAGTTCATGTTGTTACTCTGCAACATCTAAAGGAACGCTGCTCTCCCCAGGATGTAGTGTATCTATCTGATCCACTGGCATTGTATCACGTCATCATCAAAGACCAGCATGACTTTGAAGAACCTGATGCATTTATTGTGTTGGTATCCTATTGCTCTTTCACACACGCATATATTGACTTCGTGTTATAAAGGAACAACAAGATAATATTCGGGGATGGTCTAATAGCCACTACCGGTACGATATCATGGCATATCATGGCTGAGAGGTATCTGACAACATGTATAGGAGAGCAGCATCGAAAACAACGCAAACTACTCAACCCTGTCTTTTCGACCTCAAACATGCGAGAATTACTACCTACATTGCAGCCCATTGCCCACAGACTGACCTCTATCGTCGTATCTAAGCTTCCGGACGATGGTTGTGAGTCCGTTCACACGCAAAAATACACATCGACATCGGCGATTTATCTAACTCTTTTATAACAGCATACAGAGAGATCGATGTGCTCTCTTTGTTATCTCGCAGTGCGCTTGATGGCGTTTGCCAGGCGATTCTTGGTTATCCAAGCAATACTCTAGATACAGAGAACGACAAATATACTGAAGCACTCCGGAATATAAGGTACGTGCTATGAAAAATACAGTAATCCTCTTACAGCGGTAGTAATTCTTGACTTATCGTTGCAGTCCCATGATATCAAAGTTCTTGTATTTTCGGCCAATTGTGCCCGTGGTTATGCGCAACTTCTCGTCATACTGGACAAGGAAGCTTGTGAATTTGATCACGATGCCCTGGATTCCCACAGAATTGATGAAAGATGCGCGAGAGATGCGACGAATCGTCGAAGTCATGGACAGTGGTAGCAAGAAAGCTTTCGCGGAGAAAAAGGCAGCACTAGAGACTGCAGCTACCCTATCCCCCACTAATGTGCAACCTGAAGTTGATGGTCTCAAATCGGGTCGGAGGAAAGATATGATGGACATCATGAGTTAGGTCTACAACATTTTAGTCCATATGTTACTGAAGTATGCACAGTGAAGGCAAACTCTGCGTCTTCCAGTTCAGAGCAACTCACCGATGCTGAACTATTGGGACAGATGAAGTAAGCCGTCTGCTCATTATAAACATGAAAGTGATCTAACTTGTTTAATTGCAGCGTTATGGTATTCGCTGGCCTAGATACGACGACCTCTGCTCTGTCTCGTTGCATTTACCTACTTGCCAAGAACCCACTCGCCCAAGCTCGATTGAGAAGCGAAATTCGTGATGCTATCAAGTCTGCACAGGAAGGTTCTTCGTTTTCCGAGCACGACAATCCACTTCTCCACTTGTCATACGATGCGCTGATTAATCTTCCATTTCTCGATGCAATTGTCAGAGAGACATTACGGCTTTATCCTTCTCTACCGTACATGTGCCGAAAGTATGTCGTTCATCATCACCAGAAGTACTAACCGAGCAAGCATATCTACAGGGTGCACAAGGCAACTACTCTTCCTCTTCAATTCCCTGCTCGCTCGTCATCCGGAGCAGAAATATCTTCCATTGTGGTTGATGAGAACGTGTTAATTGTCATCAATATTTTAGCTACAAACCGCAATCGAACTATATGGGGTGATGATGCGAATGAGTGGAAGCCTGAGCGATGGCTTCCTTCTCCAGCGACAAAGGATGAGCTAGGCATGGATGTTCCCTCCGATGGTGTCGAGGTACTGTCGTCGAAGCTACCCGCGCCCATCCTTGGGGTCAAAGATGGCATTAAGTATCCTGGTGTTTATTCCAACATGTCAGTCATTATCCGTTAGGCCATAGCGCAGTACGTTTGCTGACCATACGCAGGATGACTTTTCTCGGTGGCAGTCGTTCCTGCATGTAAGTACAAATGCACGGCATATCCATCGGCGTACTAACACCGTATTTACAGAGGGTTCAAGTTTGCCGAAATGGAAATGAGTAAGCCCTTGCACTTTGCGTATGGCTGCCGAATCTAACCGATCGTGACTCATCAGAGCAAATCATCGCCGCACTCGTGCTCCGCCTGCATTTTGTGCTCCCAACTGATCCGGACGCCAACGGACATATCAAAGAAATCGTTTGGCAGTTGAAGGCGTTTCATACACCAGTCGTTAAGCCACCAGCTGGAGATGGCGTATCACCTACGGTCCCACTCAAATTTCGACTGGTGCAAGAGGAAGACTTTATGTAAATGGTAGGATTGTATTGGTCGAGCACTCTGTAGTAAATTATTTGTCTTGATATGCTCTGCGGTTTGGTATATGCTCTGACGCTCTGTATATCATTTGTTCTCAAACATTGTATGTGTTTATTGGTTACTAGTTGGTTTGACTCTACTGCTACTATAGCATATATACCTTTGAATTGATGTCGATGTCTACACAACATCATGGTAGCTTAATGCATTATGCAGTGTAATTACAAGAAACATGTTGTACATTAAAAAGTGTAGCTACAAGATGCACATAAATGCATTAATGACCGTTTCAGAGTGGATCGTGAGCCTGTGAATGTTGACACATGAAACACGACCTTTGTAAGCTCACCACATGAAGATTCTCTAGGAACAGCGCACTTCAATCATAATTGAGCGCACGTCGTTCACGCCTTATTCTTAAGGGTCTGACCTGAGAATCGGCGCCTCATTCTCTCTTGTCCTCTGCGCTCATCCCCATTTGCGCGTCGTTTGACGAATTTTGTCCATCCTTTTTCATCAATGACCCCGCAAATTACGACACTCTACTCCATGGCATTCATCACTCCAGTCCCAGGTCCTTCGACCACTCCTTCCTCCATGGCTAACAATGCTACCTCCTCGGCCAACACCTTGGCTGTCCAGTGTTACAATAACATTTACTCCTATTTCATTTTTTCCTTCTTGTAACCATGCCGCTGACTCTAGAACCATCTAGACTCAGTTATTCTTTTATCAAGCGGGCTGTCCGCACTTCTCTTCTTCTTGATTGTAACATAGATACTATCTTGCGCCGCATGGCGGTTTCACCTATCTTGCTATCTTGATAGGTTGTACTCTTTTTCCTATCTCTGTTACCTTTTCTTGCCATGGCTGCACCGCCTCCTTTTCACTATATAAACCCCATGTACCATAGTTGTATTCCTTAACTTAATCTACTGGGTTTTCCCCTTGAATCCTGATCTACAATGTCTCCACCCTTGTAGCCTGATACCTGATTCTAAGGCAGTCACTCACTGTCCTTAGCCTGAACTCTTGATTGCGGTAGGAGTGCTAAAACCACTCACCGCCTAGGCAGAAGTGCTAAAACCACTCGCCATGGATCCTGCATAGAAGCCGCAGCGCTCGTGCAGAGGGAACCCTTGAACCAGAAACCTTCCTTGTACTAGGAAGGTCGATGAACTGTCAACCTGATAGGTCTATCTTTGACCTTTGACAGCAGAACTATCCCAGTCGTAACATCCAGCATATGTCTCGCGATCAGATCATAGCCAAAAACCTCAGACATACTTCTGACAATGCTGCTCTCCAAGCATGCAGAGACGCTGGAGATTCCAATGTTCCTGCAGACAAGCTTCTCATTCCCCTCCCACCCCAACCAACAGGCACAGCCCCCTGCAGCAATGGATCTCAGCCTTCGCACAACTCTCTCCCAATTCACAAAATCAAGGTATCTCCATTCTCACCCCCAAATCCATACCTAGACCCAGTGTCACTGCCGTATCAAAAGTGCTCTTCGATTCTTTGAAAGAAGCACTGGGAGGGGCTGGTCTAGACTCTACATACAATTTTGGCATTCACAGCTTCATTCACAACCTTCTACTCGCTGGTCAATACTGCCCTCTGACTTTGTTCACCAACACCAATACTGAACATTTGCATCGTGAAGGACATTTGTTGAAAAGGTCCAAGATCAATATCAATGGAGTTTCATACCATTTACTCAACCTTTCGCAATTCGACAATGAACTTGACATGGACCAGCTCTCATGGCAAGAAGCCTATCAGCGTTATCTCACATGGATCAAAGACATTGGTGACACCAACTCTCTTGAATGCTGGACTAACCACTTCACTACACTCTCCAAAGATGAGGCAGTTCGGAAGAACTTTCATGCCATCATTGAGTTTGACATGGAAACATGCCAGAATTACACTCTTCGGCCCCACCAACATAATCAGCTTGAATGGAACCGTCGTCTGCAAAACAAGAAATATGAAACAATGCAGGATATCATGTTTCGGATGCAGGAACAGCTCTCTCGAAGCACTCTCCCTGATCGTAACTCAGTATCATCCTCTCGATTCGAACCTTACAACAATCCTTCCAAGACTAAAGGCAAGAAAGGCGCAGACTCAGACACCCAGTCCTTTCGTGACAACAAATCTCTCAAGACATCTGACCCCATGTGCATCATCTGTGGATGCACCGGACACCGCTTCTCCACTTGCTTGGAAGAGAATTTGTCAAAAGGTTCACAAAACTATGCGAGATACGCTGACGGATCTCTATGTAGATGTTCCAATGGCTCACAACTTTGCGTCACCTACAATCTCAACAATCCCAAATGCCCTTGCAAACGAGACCATTCCAAGCAGCACCTCTGCTCCTTCTGTGGATGTGCAGAGCACAGTGCTCTGTCACGCATCTGCATCTGAATCATTGGTTGAGAATCCTTTCTTGGGTCTCATTGACGAAGACCATTTCTTGACACTCTCGTTAGATCGTTCACTCACCCCACCCTCACTCGCTCATCACTGTTACGGACTTGGATAGTATCTGTTGGTGACGCTCAAACAGAGCATATGTCGTCAACAGTCGAGGACGTCCTTGGGCTAGCCCAAGGTTAGGAGTCTTGCTTGGAGAGCTTTGTTACGAACTTGGATAGTATCTGTTGATGACGCTCAAACAGAGCGTGTGTCGTCAATGATCGAGTACATCCCTGGGCTAGCCCAAGGTTAGGGGTCTTACTTGGCGAAGCTTCGGCAAGTAAGATTTAATGCCCATGTCCAAATCGGGTAGCTTATGTCAAGCGGAGCTCAACGATAAGTGTATCTGCCAAGGCTTACGACACCTGAAGGTTAATCGTAAGATCTGTGTTAATAGAAGGACAGAAGTCCAACTAGTTAACAGGGGCTTTGCTCGTCGACGAAGTCGATGAGTAAAGATCGAGACTAAAGACTTATCTGCGATGAGCAGATAAGAAGATAGAATATAGACTGCTGGCTAGGCAGAAGAGATCACTCTTGTTAGGAGTAGGAGGTCAAGAACCAAGTAGATTCAAGTTAGGGATTTAGATACATGGTAGCGAGTTTATATAGAGGGAAGGAAGTGTATTAGTGGATGGTGACTCGTACTACTGGAAAGGGAACTGGTCAAAGGGTGCTACTAGAAAAGGAAGGCATGTTCAAGGTGAGTCATAGGCGAACCGGAACATGCAGATAGGAAATGAGGTAGGGAGCAGAAACAAGAAGTGAAACAAGCAGGGGCACGACCATGCAACTGCGGAGCTAAGTATAAGTAAAACATGTGACTGCGCACCGAGTCATAGATCAAGAAAGGAAACAGGGTAAAGGGGATGCAGCGTGCATTGTATCATAGGTTACCGTCTGGGCAGTAAGGGTAAAGGGGACTGTCCACAGGATCAGTCATCAGGTGGAACAGAGCATGGGTATGCTTTGTCAGAGAAAGGGTCCAGCCAGATGTACTGGCTCTGGAGCGACAGGTAGAGGGCAAAGGGGAATGCAAGGATGACGAGGATAACAAGAGCAAGGTCGGGGTAAGGGTGTGATGCAAGGGCGGAGATGAGGAGGATAAGGAGAAAAATGGTAGGGGCCCAAGCATCTAGATGTTCCTGTAACAGTCACATAATCTGCAGCACACCCCTTCCTCATATGACAACGATCCTGATTACTCATTCATCAACATGCCCTATTCGGCGGATGGCTTCGATAGACTCCTCACATGCATGAACCTCACACATCAATTCCCAGAGCTCACTTTCAAGCTTCAGCACAATTTTCCTATAGCTCTTAATCTCTCCCCTCTCACATCCACATACACTCCTAACAACCTGCCTGGCACAGACATTTACAAGGAGGTCTGTGATGAATACGTCGCAGAGGAACTTGCAAAAGGCTGTTTTTCAGGACTGTACACTCACGACACCTTGTACACCAAAATAGGCCACTTTCGCTCCTCACCACTACAAGTAGTAGTCAAGAAGGGCTTAGGCAGTGAGCTGGACAAGTATCGCATATGCCGACACCTCTCATATGCAGGCTTGATGGGACTTTCAGTCAATGATGAGATTGATGCGGAAGATTATCCCACAGAATGGGGTACCACAGCCGAATTTGCAGAAATAGTACGTCACTTTCCTCTTCCCCTCCCCTCTCTCCATCGCATACTCCATCGTTTGAAGGCATGTACCCTTCACATACACGTCTCTCTCTTCTCAAACATCATCTCACACACTCTCAGATCCGCCATGTGCCGCCAGGAGCCCAGATGGCCACCCTGGACATCGAGGCTGCTTACCGTGGCATCCCCTGTGCACCAGAACACAAGTGTTACCTGGTCATTTACCATGACGGTAAACTTTATATAGACCATAACATACCTTTTGGCTTAGCATCTGCAGCAGGGCTTCAAGGAGAAGTCGCGGATGCGACCGTTCACATCTGGCATGTTCTGGATGTCAAGCCTACAAAGAAGTGGGTTGATGACATTGCCATCTTCAGATTCCCTTCCCCCAATGGTTCTTTCTTGAGGATATCTCGAGGTATAATCTATTGTTATGTTAAGACCATGCACAAAGGGTAGGACTGATTCTGAGGGGCTTGGCTTCAGCTCGTACGCTGTGCCCCTTACCCGAGTATGTGCCCGTAATTTCAGATTGATGTCCGGAGAAGATCCTAGGAAGTCTGAAGGATATCCGAAGGTGCGGGAAACTTCAGAAGGGCTTTCCGGACGAGTGCAAGTAACTTCTGGATGAGTGTGGGAAAGTTCTGGAGGAACTTCCAGAAATTACAATGAGGTTTCGTCCTGATATGAATATGTGTAGTGGCTACTCAGGACTTGTCCTGAGTAGAAGCAAACAGAGGTAAGGCTGCAAGGACAATGTCCAAAGCAGAATAGGTCCAGAGGACTGCAGGAAAGATTCGGATGAACTTCCGGAAACTTGGAGGAATATAGGATCAGAGGATTGGAGGAGCGGAGGAGCGGAGCTCCAGCCTAGGAAATTCCTCCCTAGGCCTAAGGAAGATTTCACAAGGAAGGAACTAGTATAAGGACTTAGTTGTGAAGACTAGTGTGAGGACTAATATGATATTCAGACTGAGGGACTACAAGACATATACAAGAGTTTATATACTAAGTGACTATCAGAAAGATCAATAAGCAAAGGTCCAAGGCTATCTATGAAGCATAAGCAAAGTTAACAAATGCGAGTCGGAAATGAAGCATAGGTTAATGGATCAGTAAGCATACTGGTAGTAAGTATAACTGAGGTACAGGGAACAAGGAATACCGGATAGGCTGTGTTAGTGTTATATGCACAGGAAATGGATTAAGAAGCTTATCGATATCAGATCGGAAGTGGATCTATGCATCGGACTGGATCGGGCCAGATATGGTCTGGACGAGATGCGTGGATATGTGGGATAGGACAAAGGATGAATGATGCAGGCTAGCTGCGAAGGTAAAGGGATCTGGATGCATAGAGGACTGCAGACATGGATAGGACATCCGAAGGTCCAGATGAGGCATGGGAATATTATCGGATGTAGGTCCGGAATATGGGATATGACACGTTACAACTATGACCTCCCGCATGCCAAATCTCTAGTGGCCGAGGCCAAAGTCCCCTGGCACGAGCTCAAAGGACAACCTTTTGAAAATGATGGCACTTACGTTGGCTTCTTATGGGATATCCCCAGCAAGACCATTGTCTTGCTGGAATGTAAGCAGCTCAAATATGTCTCTCGTCTATCGACCTTCTGTCACAACCCAAATAACGAATTAATGCTTGGGCAGAGACTAGGACTCGACTAAGGTTATCACAACAAAGAAAAGAGAAGCAGGTACGTCTTGGATTGCTACAGTGTAGATACAAGAGGTTTGAACTAAAGAACTATCAACCAAGACGTGCTACCTACGGAGATTGAAACTGAGATACAACTACTAGCCAATCATAAAAAGGAAAAGGGAATCGTACCATAGAACATCGTAGAATATTAAAGAAGTATCATGTGACCTTATCTTATCTTATCATATCTAATCTAATCACAATCAAAGAACTCATCTTCTTCATCAGTCACATCAAAGACACGTCGTGGGCGCTAAAGGAATTTCTGAACTGGTAGACACTTTTGGGATAGGGTTAGGGTTTGACTTAGGCGCTTTATATTGGCGCTTAGGAAGATTCAAGAAAGAATAGTGATTTGTTAAAGGTATTCGTGACACCTTCCTATCCCTCTATCTAGACTCGCAAGTGCCCAAATGTGAGTTGGAACAGATCGCCGGGTTTCTCAATCACTCTTCTTTTTGCTACCCAGAGGGTAGATCATACCTCCCGAACCTCTACACGAACATCGTGGCTTATAAATTGGATTTTGCCCCCCGGTACATCAGCAACTCCACCAAATCGGATCTAAAGTGGTGGTTATGCACTTTATCAGTCACTCCGACACCTCTAGACATATCACCACTTCCTCCTACCAGAGACTACAACATTTATGTAGACGCCTCTACCAGTTCAGGTATTGGACTTCTCTGGAACTCTTGCTGGGCATTTTGGTGCACCTCTCCTATGTGGCATGGTCCATCTTGAGACATAGGTTGGCTGGAGGCTACAGCTGTCGAACTCGCCATCTGTCTGATCCACGCCAAAGGCATACGAGGAGCTGATATCCTGATCCGCAGTGACAACCAGGGCATCATTGCTGCTTTTCGGAAAGGAAGGTGTTCCAATTACATGATCAACTTGGCAATCTGCCACTCCGAAGCTCTCATGCGTGAATCTCACTTATCCATCTCCCTCGTGTATGATGTAGAAAGCTGATTCCTGCTGGGCTCGGCAGAAATCGTACTACCTAGACAACAAATATTTAGGTAGATCTTAGCACAACCTATGCTGCTATACTTGCAGAGCAAGTGCGTT